CCTGGGCAACAGGCTGGAATGCAGTGGTGCAATCTTGGTTCACTGCAACCTCCACTTTCCAGGTTCAAGTGATTCTCCTGCCTCACCCTCCCAAGTAGCTGGGATTACAGGCGCCCGCCACCACGCTCAGCTAATTTTTGTATTTTAGTTGAGACAGGGTTTCACCATGTTGGCCAGGCTGGTCTTGAACTCTTGTCCTCAAATAATCCATCCGCCTCAGCCTCCCAAAATGCTGGGATTATAGGCATAAGCCACCATGCCTAGCCTCTACTATTTATTTTGATATTGTAAATGAAGTATATTGTGTGCAAATGACACAAAATGGGACGCTAGGAGACAATTGATGGAACCATGAAGAAACGAATGCATACCTTATAAGAGAAAGCAAGTAGGTTTGACCCCAGCCTGACCCTGCCTTAGAGGAAAATCACACAACTGTGTAGGTTATAAAGTGGCTCCAATCTAATGTTCTGATCTCATTGTCTATCACTGCATTTCCTACATCCTGTATTCCTCCGAGTCCTTGATTTCACATGGCCTGGGTTGAAATCCTGGCTCTATCATTTACTAGCTGTGTGGCCTCAGGCAAGGAACCTTGCCTGTTGATACCTCAGTTTCCTCGGCTGTAAAATCATTACAGTACCATTCTTATTAAACAATCAATTGTAGCTCTTTTTATGTTTACCTTCTATAAATAAATTCACAGTGAGCAAAATGTCTAATAAACCAATCTCGTATCAGTTTATTCCATAGCCATCAAGAAATTCAACATTTCATCAGAAGGCTGTTCAAATGTCCATAAAACCGTCACAAAGAAGCTCTATTTCATGACAGCGGAACTTGTGACAGTTAAAATGAGGCAGAGATTTCAAAGCCTCAAAATTTTGTTTTTTGTTACCTCATATTACATATAAATATGTTGGTGAGTTCCCATGATTCTCCTTATTACCTCATATAGTTTTTTAAAAATACGTAATATATTGGTTATATGATTAATTGATTTAATATTTTCTTTGGGATCACACCCGTGAAAAGTTAGTCATCATGTCCAGTGTAACATTGTTTCTGTGAGAAAACCAAATGACTTAAATCATTTTGTCACAAGGTCAGAGCACAGGTGCAGAAAATGGACATTAGGAAGCCAGCAGACCCCGTTGAGGTTGGGGTTAAAGAAAGGCCAGTGGAGAGGAGACACAACCAACTAAGCAGCAGTTAGAAAAGTTCCTCAGTTTAGCATGGGATTGAAACCAAATAAACTGTTTCAATTGTCTCCATATATTCTTGCAGAAAGAACATATATAGTTTGATAGAGAACAAATCCATTTTTTTAAAGAATGTGCTGCTCTTAAATCCGAGATGATAAAAGTAATGGTCTGTCCTTGTTTATACATACATTTTTGATTATTGCATAGTAACCCATGTAAAAGTCAGTAGGAAATAACTAAACATTAAAAAATCCAGAAGAGAAACTCAATCTTGCGATTTTTACTGTGACCTCCACAACGTGGGGGAAGCTTTTCAGGTGTCACTCAGCATGGAAGTTATTATCTTCCTGCAAAAAGCCAGATGATCTGCAGAACCCCTCCCAGTGCCCCAAATAGGAGAGACCATTCCCCGGTAGGAGGCAGCGGCTCCAGGCATTTTACCAAGACTCTATTGGAGGTGCCTGAGCGTCCTTAACCACCAGTCTTATATAAACCTGGAGCAGTAAATTAGGCAGAGCAGCTGTTAGAGCTATAAAAATCCAGGAGATGAAAGTTCTGCTTAAAATCCAAGCTCTGAGCAATTGCCGTGAGAGACACTGAGGAGTCTCTGCAGTTAGACTAAAACAGGAAGTGACCATTTTGATTTGGATTATTATGGGACAAGGAAAAGCAAGAGATATGGAAAGGGTCTATAGAGAGATAGAGTGGAGAATGAACAGGAAGTGGATTGGGGCATTTCTCAAAGTGACACTACACGGAGAGCTTTACTAGTTCCCTTGTGAGGAGGACCCTGGGTTAATGCCACCACTCTTGTATAGTCTTTGTAATTAGGAGTATGTTTGAATGCATGGAGTGTACGTGTATGTATCGGCTCAAGTGTCAATTCATGCACCACGTCTGATTTTTTAGAAGTAGCTGCCTGAAGCCCAGGGTCAATAAGGAATCAAAGTCTGAGTCTACACTTCAAAAATGATACTGTGAGCTGGGCACGGTGGCTCACACCTGTAATCCCAGCACATTGGGAGGCCGAGGCAAGAGGATCACTTGAGCTCAGGAGTTTGAGACCAGCCTGGGCAACATAAACCCTGTCTCTACTAAAAAAATAAAATTTAATTATCTGGGTGTGGTGGCATGTGCCTGTAGTCTCAGCTACTCAGAAGGCTGAGGTAGGAGGACTGTGTGAGCCCAGGAGATGGAGGCTGCAGTGAGGGGGAGCATGCCACGGTACTCCAGCTTGGGTGACACAGTGAGACCTCGTCTCAAAAAAAAAAAAAAAAAAAAAAAAAAAAAAGATTTTGATCTGCCTTGGATGGAAAGAGAGAGGTATGCCTTAGATGCAGAGGGGGAGATGAGTAGACCCAGTGACAAAACCTAGATCTTAACTGTTAAGGAAATTATAGATGCTTCAATTTCAATGCTGGTATGTGTGGTCATTCTCAGTGAGTCTTTTTTCCCCCCTATTATAAAGCTCTAAGTCCAAGGAGCTTTAAGGTATTGTTCAAGATTGTTATCTGAGACAGCTAGACCCTTGAAAACAATTACTATTAAAATACCGGGGCTAAGAAAGTACACAGATGACAAGCAACATCCCTTATAGTATATTCCAAGCAGTTTCTGAGCGTGCCACAGCTGGGGAAGAAAATCACTGTGTGGCTCACAATCTCAGAGACAAAGAGGACCCCATTACCCAGCAGGGCAGTGATTAAAAGCAATCCATGAAATACTAACTAAAGATACAGAATAAATACATTCCTGGAAGGCTAACTCGTGGCTATTATCTCTTTTGGATTCCCAGCTTGCTTTGAAGACCAAGGAATGCTTGATTGCAGTTCATTTGAGCAGAAAAATGGGTTCTTAAGTTAAAGATAAAGAAGGAAGAGAGGCTATACACACTCAAGATGGTCTGACAGATTGAGGGCTGTGTCTGAGAGCAGGGCATCATCACCCAAGGAGAAACACCAAGACAACAAAATTTCTGGACTTTATTCAAACCAGCTGCCTTGCTTTGGGGCTGGACTCTTCTTGCTCGTGGCTAGTTTGATATTTAATCAAATTTTGGATTTTCATTTTTATTGCCTAGTGGAATAGGACACAGTTTAAGAACCTAAGCATTCATTATACTCGGCTTGTCACACACTCAGAATCTGGTCTCCTTTGGAATATACTGTAAGAGACATTGCTTATCATCAGTGCATTTTCTTGGCCCTGGCATTTAAACATATTACATTAAATATTATACTAAATTTAATGAATTATATGAAATACAACCACAACAGTACTAACAGCTAAAATCTGGATGTCAGCCTGGTGCCAGGATCGCGCCCAGTGCATTCGTTGGATTCTCATATTTAGTCCTCACAACATAACAATATGAAGCACATATAGGGCTTGATACATGTTAGTTACTGCTTCTAGTGCTTTCCTAATATTAATTTATACACTGCTTACAACAGCCCATTATCTGAGCAAAGACAATGCAAAGGCCTGCCTAGAAAAAAATACTCTAGAACTAAGATTTCATAATGAAGACACTGACGCACAGAGGCAAATGAACTTAGCCAAGGCCACACACAGCTAGTAGGTGGCAGAACTAGGATAGAAATTTAGATGATTCTGTGAAGTGGGCCTCTGAATACTGCCATGCAGAAGACGCACAAACAAAGATGCAGAGAGGTGAACTGATTTGCCCAAGGTCACAGAGCTAGATCTAAATCAGAGTGTAACCTCAAAGACCGTGCTCCCATCCACCCTCCTGAACTGCCACAGTTTGGGCCAGAAAAAGGTTTTTCTGGCCGGGTGTGGTGGCTCACGCCTATAACCCCAGCACTTTGGGAGGCCGACGCAGATGGATCACCTGAGATCAGGAGTTCGAAACCAGCCTGGCCAACATGGCAAAAACCCATCTCCACTAAAAATACAAAAATTAGCCAGGTGTAATGGCATATGCCTCTAGTCCCAGCTACTTGGGAGGCTGAGGCTGGAGAATCGTTTGAACCCCGGAGGCGGGGGTTACAGTGAGTCAAGATGGTGCCACTGCACTCCAGCCTGGGCGACAGAGTGAGACCCTGTCTCAAAAACAAATAAAAAAATAATAATAAATGGTTTTTCCTTTTGTTAACCTTTACCAGATGAGACTTAAGAATTTGAGGAAATACAGTTATTGCATGATTGATACATTCAATTTTCAGACAATGTACAGGCCTGCCTGGAAAAAAATATCCAGATTCTCAGATTTTACTTCTAAAACCATTTGTGCACTCTTCTGTTTCAGAGGAGACACCATGATCTCATGCCTATGTCTATATAACCAAAAGGAAATAAGACAAGGTTTCTAAAACCCTCTGACAACATACCCTGAATTATTAATACTGGATACGAAGGCATTATCAGTACAGTGAATCTTAAAGATCTGAGGCGCATGTGTTAGGTTTGTGGATTATGCCCAGCACAGGCTTCTTTCTTTGCACCACCCACTCATGAAGCAGTGCTAGGATGGGGGAAGAGTGTGTGCCAGTGCCTCAGCCTGAATGTGAATCAGAATGCATGCCAAAGCCAAACACAAACGCTTTTGCATTATCCATGGCTTCGTTTTCCTCATACCCTTCCCCTGGTGTATTAAACGGGCTCCAGGAGTGGAGCACATGCATTTATTCACACATGTCTTTCTGCAAAACTCAAACCTCTTTATCTCTCAATAAGAAATCAAGCACCCGACATTTCCTTTAGAAGCAAATTCATAAAGAATTCAAGTTAGAAAACAGTATACTATGAAAAGCATAAATTTAAGAGCAATACCTTGATATGGAAGCCACTCTCCAGTCTTGATTTGTTGATAAAATTATACTGTGGTACTCCCCAACCAATTTCACCAACGTACTCATGTTTATATTTTGCTGGCAAGCTTCTATCTGAGGCAGGCCTCCATAAATATCTGAGATCTCCAGTTTTTTCTAACGCCGGATGCTGTTCTCCTACATAGCAGGTGTGCTGATGAATTTTGGGTAAATAATCCTTTATGTAGTCTGGACCTTTAAAAGACAAAAAGTACTTAAAACTTCTCCACACTTTATTCTAAGATACTTTTGTTATTTTAACCATTGAAATACTAATAGCCAATAATTATATGGCACTTACTATGTTCTAGGTTCTATTATAAGCCTTTTAGACATGTTAATTCTTATTAATACTTATTTATAATTAATAATTCTTATTAATGCTTATTAGTAACCAAATGAGACTGGTAGAATTTTTTTCTCCAGTTTATGTATGGGGAAAATGAAAGATTGGTTACTTGTCCAGAATTATAGCTAACAAGGTCTTTGTACCCAGACAGGCTGATGCAAAGGTTGGGCTCTTAATTGACCATTAAACTGCTTTGTATATAATCAACTTAATATAGACATGGGCTGGATGTGGTGGTTTATGCCTGTAATCCCAGCACTTTGGGAGGCCAAGGTGGGTGGATCGCTTGAACTCGGGAATCTGAGACCAGCCTGGATAACTAGTGAGACCCTGTCTCTACAAAAAATAAAAATTAGCCAGGCATGGTGGCACACACCTGTGGTCCCAGCTATTTGAGAGATGGAGGTGAGAGGATTGCTGAAGCCCAGGAGGTGGAGGCTGCAGTGAGCTATGACTGTGCCACTGCACTTCAGCTTGGGCAATAGAGCAAGACCACCTCAAAAAAAAAAAAAAAAAAAGACATGATCTATACTAAAATTTCTCACATGCCATATTTGCAGGACGTAGGCCTTCAGATATTGAGGTGTTTTATCTATGTAGATAAAAATCTGAAATGAGTATTAGAATACTCCCCAAATGTATTAGCAAAAAATTGAAAAATGGAGAAAATTGTTAGATGAGGGTAAGCTTATAACATTACCAAAGGCAGAAGTATTTGTATTTTAAAAGTAAAACAATGAACAAAAAAAAAATCAATGAATTATAGAAATAGGTGAAAAAAGCAGAAATAAGAGAAGGTCTGGGAAAAGATTAAATTTTTTTACTATGATATTTTAAGTTCTGGGGTACATGTGCAGAACGTGCAGATTTGTTACATAGGTATACACGTGCCATGGTGGTTTGCTGCACCCATCAGCCCATCATCTACTTTAAGTATTTATCCTAATGCTATCCCTCTCCTAGCCCCCCACCCCCTGACAGGCCCCCGTGTGTGATGTTCCCCTCCCTGTGCCAATATGTTCTCACTGTTCAACTGCCACTTATGAGGGAGAACATGAGGTGTTTGATTTTCTGTTCCTCAGTCACTTTGCTGAGAATGACAGTTTCCAGCTTCATTCATGTCCCTCCAAAGGACATGAACTCATTCTTTTTCATGGCTGCATAGTTATTCCATGGTGTATATGTGCCACAATTTATCCAGTCTAACATTGATGGACATTTGGGTTGGTTCCAAGTCTTTGCTACTGTGAATAGTGCTGCACTAAACATATGTGTGCTTGACACATATGTTTGTCTTTGACAAACCTGACAAAAACAAGAAATGGGGAAAGGATTCCCTACTTAATAAATTGTGTTGGGAAAACTGGCTAGCCATATGCAGAAAACTGAAACTGAACCCCTTCCTTACCCCTTATACAAAAATTAACTCAAGATGGACTAAAGACTTAAATGTAAGACCTAAAACTATAAAACCCCTAGAAGAAAACCTAGGCAATACCATTCAGGACATAGGCATGGGCAAAGATTTCACGACTAAAACACCAAAAGCAATGGCAACGAAAGCCAAAATTGACAAATGGGATCTAATTAAACTAAAGAGCTTCTGCACAGCAAAAGAAACTATCATCAGAGTGAATATGCAACCTACAGAATGGGAGAAAATTATGTTATCTATCCATCTGACAAAGGGCTAATATCCAGAATTTATAAATAACTTAAATAAATTTACAAGAAAAACACACCTTATCAAAAAGCGGGTGAAGGATATGAACAGGCACTTCTCCCAGACATTTATGCAGCCAACAAACATATGAAGAAAGTTCTTTATCACTGGTCATTAGAGAAATGCAAATCAAAACCACAGTGAGATACCATCTCACCCCAGTTAGAATGGCGATCATTAAAAAGTCAGGAAACAACAGATGCTGGAGAGGATGTGGAGAAATAGGAACGCTTTTACATTGTTGGTGGGAGTGTAAATTAGTTCAACTATTGTGGAAGACAGTGTGGCAATTCCTCAAGGATCTAGAACCAGAAATACCATTTGACTCAGCAATCCCATCACTGGGTATATACCCAAAGGATTATAAATCATTCTACTATAAAGACACATGCACATGTATGTTTATTGTGGCACTGTTCACTATTGTGAACAGTGAATAGTGAATACTGACTTTGAACCAACCCAAATGCCCATCAGTGAAAGACTGGATAATGTGCCACATAAACACCATGGAATACTATCCAGCCATAAAAAAGATGAGGTCATGTTCTTTGCAGGGACATGGATGAAGCTGAAAACCATCATCCTCAGCAAACTAACACAAGAATAGAAAACCAAATACTGCATGTTCTCACTCATAAGTGGGAGTTTAACAATGAGAACACATGGACATAGGCAGGGGAACATCATACATTGGGTCCTGTTGTGGGGTGAGGGGCTAGGAGAGGGATAGCATTAGGAGAAATACATAATGTAGATGATGGGCTGATGGGTGCAGCAAACCACCATGGCACATGTAAACAAACCTGCATGTTCTGCACATGTACCCCAGAACTTAAAAAATAATAAAAAACTTTTGCAGCTAGCTCAAATAAATGCGTTTTTAAAAAAGAGATAGGGTCTTGCTATGTTGGCCAGGCTGAAGTGCAGTGGCTATTCACAGATACAATAGTGCTCTAAAGACTTGAACTCCTGGGCTCAAATGATTCTCCTGCCTCAACCTCCCAAGTAGCTGGGACTACGGCACATGCCACCAAGCCCTGCTAAAATTGGTAAAGTTAATCATGTGAATGTGAAAGACCTAAGACTTTCTGTAAGAAATGGTGCTTACTGATGAAAGATAAGACAATGAAGCTACTGGCCCAGGAAGAAGTTCAAAAACCCCATAGCCAAAATGAGTGTAGACGTGTATGGGCAGACTGGGGACAGAAAGAAGGAACTTCATTTCTTTTCCAAAAGTTAACCAAAGACCTTGGAGAGAGAATCTGTGTTGTGGTGACACTGCCTCAGTCCTTTCTGGCTCCTGTGGCTCTTTTCATCTTGCTCTTAAATCAGGGAGCTCAGTATTTGCAGAAAGTGCAAGGCGGGCAAAGGCTTTGATCTACTGCCCCGACACGTGGACCAGATACTCTTGATAGGATAGTAAACGTGTAACAAGACTGTGCTCAGAAAACGAATCTCAGCTTTCCAAGGAAGCCGAAAATGTAAGGGTTTTTCAGAAACAATTTTAGCAGGTGTTTTCACAGCTTCCTAATCACCATCACTCCCCAAGAAAATTGAGTATTCACTGAGTGGCTAATTTCCCCTGATGAATACATCGTGGCTTCAGTTTTATTTGCTTCAGGTTTTCACTTAGATAGAACTACTTTGATAAAGCATAGAATCGTCAGAGCATGAAAACCTGTTTTCTCTCTCCATATGGCAGGTGTTGAGGTCTCATTTACAAAACTCTGTCAAAAGGAACTTTTTGCGATCTCTTCTAAACAGTGAAATATGGAAAAACTGTATTAGTCTTTTCAGAATTGCAGTGTATGTTTAAGCCAGTTTTTAAATTTTATTTTACTCTGAGGTATACCCTTCAGAAGATAATTTTTTTCCTTTTCAGAAACAGGACCTTGCTTCACCCAGGCTGAAGTAAAGCGATGCAATACTAGCTCACTGCAGCCTTGACCACCTGGGCTCCAGGGATCCTCCTGACTCAGCCTCTCGAGTAGCTAGGACTACAGGTGCAGGCCATCACATTTGGCTAATTATTATTATTTTTATTTGTAGACATGAAGTGTTATTGCCCAGGCTGGTCTCAAACTCCTGGCCTCAAGTGAACCTCCTGCCTTGGCCTTCCAAAGTGCTGAGATTACAGACATGAGCCACTGTGCCCAGACTCAGACCAGTGTTTTCCCAAATACTTCATCAAATGCTGCTCGCATGAGTGCACCATGACGGTGGTAGTGTGTGTGGGAGGGATCTCTACAGTCAAATGCACTTGGGAACACTGCTTGCTACATTTGCCTTATAGATATTCACAGCATATGAAAGTATATTCAGAGTTCTGATAAGACTTATATGGTAAATAAACTATTCAAAGTTACATAGCCCAGTGTTTCCCAAACTGATTTCAACGTAGATGGTTTTTCCCTACTGGGTCACTTATATGCATCCTACTGTAAATGTGAGAGTAGATATTTATCTGTCGTTAGTTCCTTAGTTGCTCTGTGGACTGGAGTAAGTTTTTGAAAAAAGCTATTACTTGCCAGCTGTCTTGGTTTGTGCTGCTATAACAAAATACCCAAGACTAAGTAACTTGTAAAGAACAGAAATTTGTTTTCATACAGTTATGAAGGCTGGGAGTCCAAGATCAAGGTGCTGGCAGGTCATGTGACGAAGGCTGCTCTCCGCTTCTAAGATGGTGCGTCGTTGCTGCATTTTCTGGAGGGGAGGAATACCAGGTCCCGACAGGGCAGCGGGTGGAAGGACAATCAAGCTGGAGGCTTCCTGAAGCCTTCTTTATAAAGGCTTTAATCTCAGTCATGAGGGAGGAGCCCTCATGACCTAATCATCTCTTAAAGGCTCCACCTCTTACTCCTATCACATCGGCCATTAAATTTCAACACCTGAATTTGGGGAGGTGTGCACACTGAAACCATAGCACGAGCTGAGTCAAAAGCACTTAGTTTTAGAAGGTGTGGTGAAAAGTGTACATGCTTCGCAACCCAAGTATGTGTGTTTGTGTGTGTGTGTGCGTGTCCCGTCAGTCCAACAAACTTCATCTTTTGCCAACACTTGAAGAAAGGGCTGGGCATGGTGTGTCAGGCGCCATGGAAGGCTAAGAAGGGAGGATCACTG